TTGTTCAAGGATGTTCCATAGTAGAGTCTCTCTCTACAAAATCTTACACTGTAAAAAATAAAGGTCATCGCATCTGAATCAATCCATTAAAATATTTCCGTAGAGATCAAAAAAAGTATAGCTGAAAATTTTAGTAATATCAAAAATTATTAATCAGAATTGTATTAAAAGATGGATGATTTTATAGGATTATTTCTTTGATTGTTATTTATAATATAAAAGATACTCAACTGTCAAGATGCCAATTAATCAACCATCTGGTCAGATTAAATTGACCAATGTTTCTATGGTCAGATTGAAGAAGAACAAGAAGAGATTTGAAGTTGCATGTTATCAGAATAAAGTTCAAGATTACCGTAAAGGCATTGAAAAGGATCTAGATGAGGTATTACAGATTCATCAAATATTTATGAATGTATCGAAAGGTTTGGTGGCCTCTAAAGAAGATCTACAGACATGTTTTGGTACAAATGATGTTGATTTGATTATTAAAGAGATCTTAAATAAAGGTGAAATTCAATTATCTGAAAAAGAAAGACAGTTGATGCTAAATAAGATTAACAATGAAATGCTAACGATTATAAGTACCAAATGTATTAATCCAAAATCCAAAAAGAGGTATCCTCCAACAATGATTCACAAAGCATTGAATGAATTAAAATTTAGCCCCGTAGTAAATAAGCCAGCAAAATTACAAGCATTAGAAGCAATCAAATTGTTAATCTCATCACAAATAATTCCAATAGTAAGAGCCAAAATGAAGATAAAAATCGTATTAAATCAAGAAGCTCAAGGCAGTGGTGATTCTACTGAACTTGTAGAAAAGATTACTAAATTTTTCATTAAACCAGTTATAGTTGAAGAACCTATATGGACTTGTACAGGATTGATTGATCCTGTTAGTTATAGAGACTTGGTATCAATATGTAATGGTAATGGTACTATACAAGTATTGGATATGGCTGTAATAGATGATAGCAACTGATATTAATACCTTGGTTTAAGGTTGTGGGCATGGATGTGGCTGATTTTGCCTCCTATATACTTAATTAATTTTTTATTATTATCATTCATATTAATTAATTGTACATATCTTTTATACATTTAAGAACAAATATTAATTTATCAAAATCATTATTATTGTTGTTGTTGTTGTCGTTATCATTATCCTTCCATAATTTACTTGAAAGAGTTATTAATAAATTTTTATTTGAAATATCATTTTGATTTGATAATATAACTTTATTGTATAATTCAGCAATCTGAGTGCAAATTACAGGTAGTTTCATGTTGTTGCTATTACCCAATTTTGTAATAACTTGATAATCCGATAGGTAATCGGTGATTGTATCTTCATCATCTTCATTGTTCAAGAATGATGGACTAGCTATTGGTCTTTGAATAACGCTGTTAGTGTTCAAACCTTTCTGTGATACCTCATAAGTAGTATCCAATTCACCATTAAATCTCAATTGAATCAATATTTCATTAGTGAAATGTGTAGCGTTAATAGCCAATTCATCGCCTCCAGGAAACAGATCTAAAGGCAATTGATTAGTAGATTGACGAGTATACATTCTAGTAAAATTAGTAATTTGAAGTTAAACACCCAACTTAAACAGAGTGTGTTTTATCACGATAGATGTATCCTCAACAGGGTGGATAAATGCTAAACCTAAAAATGTAAACTTGAACAACACAAGAAGAATGACGTTAAACCTGAGAGCAAACACCAGATTCAAAAAACCGATGATTGAGGGTTTTGATGGGTTTAGCTTTAAACTTTGTAACCTGTTAAACTAAATTAAAGTTGATTCAAACTCACCGAACAAGATTGGTAGAAGTAAAGAGAGAATATACAGAGACAGAGAGAGACAGAGACAGAGACAAGAAGGAAATGATTTCGAATTCGTTAATTCCATTGTCGATCGAAAGTATAACAAGAATGGAAACTTAACAACACCTACAAGAAAGCGACCGACTACAAGAAACCAACTAGCTTCGAATTTCGAATTTCGAATTGCTAATTACGATCCTCCATCCTCAAAACTCAAATCTCGAAACTCAAATCTCGAAACTGGTTAAGCTTCGTTTAACGACTTCGACAAGATTGCATTAGAGATCTCTTGACTTGATTATATTTGATCTGTCCTGTCCTATCCTATCCTATCCTATCCTGATTTGTATAGAGTACCAAGAGACTGGCTCAGGTTAAAGTTTACCTTAACCATTCGAGTAATTGATCATCAACGGTTATGGCTAATGCTATATACTTGTACATATATGTTTGGTTCTATTTATATAAGTACTTAAACGACTTCATAAACTTGTGATGAGATGAGATGAGATGCGATGAGAAGTCTCTTCTTTCTTCTAAAGAACGATATTTCTACTTGTTTCACAATTCGAATTACAGTTAGTTTTACGTACAACAAACTAACATTTTAATGTTGTTCTTATTCTTATTCTTATTCTTATTCTCATTCTCATTCTCATTCTTTCTCTTGTTTCTTCTTACAATGCAATAGCATCGTCGTTCTAACCCGATCTATTTCATTGATATAACCTCTGTATTACTACTTACTTCTTGATGCTATTGATGTTACTACAGGTATCAAAAAGTTTTTTTCTTTTAGTTCTAGTTCTAGTTCTAGTTGACTACATTGGCGTTGCTATATGTCTTATAATTTTAATATCTCATTGCTATTGTCGTTATATCCCATAGACCACACAACTTGTAAATATTTAGTATACTTTTATTTATATATAGAGAGACATGTTTATAATTATTATTGTACGATAAGTGGACTTGGAACGTATGTATATTGCTAAACATCATTCTGTTGTTCTGATAGTTTTTGTGATTCTTATTGTTATTGTTTAATCTTTGAACTATTAAGATTGATCAAACACAAACTATCTTTCTTTCTTCTTATATATAGCAAGATTTTTGAAGAGTTAGCTTTAGAAGCAGAATTAGTATTATTAGAAGAGCTGATATTCTCATTTGCCTGATTTGGTTGGATTTGGTAGGAACAAAACTGATAACTGAACTTTCTATATATATCAATATTTATTATTAATTACCAAAGATGGTTATAGTTGAATTCTATAAAAATTGTTACAGGAAGCTATTGAGGCCAGTGTTGCCAATTAAATTAAGATCATTCTTAAAAGATGTCATTTCCATTATGGTCATTAATTTCTTTTTAACATTCTTATTGATGTTTGCTCTGTGGACAAATTTTTCAACTCATCTACATAAACGTTTAGATTTTAGAGATACTAGAAGTTCATTCACTAAGATTTTACCAAAAATTGCTTCAACCATTAAAAGAAAAACTCTAAGTTACTCAGGTGCTAAATATGCTGAACCTGAACAAGAAATTTTATTAAGTTTAGATGGTGATGAAGTCAATAATATTGAATATGATCGTACTATAACTCATATCGAAGCAAAACCAAGCAGTTCAGATGATTTAGTTAACTATAAGAATCTTAATGATGATAATGTTGATGAAGATGACAGCAGCAATTGGGAAAGTAAAGTCATTAAAACAAAAATCAGCGTTAAACATACCCATGCTTATGATAACTATTTGGAAGATAGTAAATTAGTTTGTGATTTAGGTTATTATTACAGACAATATGGTATAGGTTTTGAAGAAATTGAAGTCGAAACTGATGATGGTTTCATTATTGATTTATGGCATTTAAAACCGCAAAATAATAATAACAAAGCTGGCCATCCTATCTTATTACTACATGGTTTGTTACAAAGTAGTGGTTCTTTTGCTACTAGTGGTAAGAGATCTTTAGCTTACTATTTGTATCAACAAGGTTTTGACGTTTGGTTAGGTAACAATAGATGTGGATTTAATCCAAAATGGAATATGAAAAAATTGAACCACGATAAATCAAAACAATGGGATTGGGATATTTTTGATATGGTCAAATATGATTTAAAAGCTTTAATTCAAACCATATTGAATAGAACTGGTTATGAAAAGTTGTCCTTAATTGGTCACTCCCAAGGTACTACTCAAGGTTTTATGGGTTTAGTTAATGGTGAAGATATTTACAAAAATGATGATAGCACAACTGAATCTGGTGATGAATTTAAATTAATCGATAAATTAGAAAATTTCGTTGCTTTAGCACCAGCAGTTTATCCTGGTCCATTATTAGATGAAAAAATGTTCGTTCAATTAATTAGAATGGGTATTGACAAACCAAGAATCTTCCGTGAAAGATCTTTTGTTCCAATTATGATGTTTATGAGATTATATGTGGAACAAAATTTATTTGCTTATTTATCATATGTCATGTTCAATTATTTATTTGATTGGAATGATGCCCTTTGGGATAATTCTTTAAGAAATAGACATTTCATGTTTTCTCCCGTTCACGTTTCTGTTAAATTAATGCAATGGTGGTTAAGTCCTGATCCTGCCAAGAGAAGTTTCAAAGAAACTGCTCAAGAATTATTCCCGGATAAAAAAGCTTGGTTCCCATTATCTACTGAAAGACCTGTTTCCCAACCAAATTCAATTCATAAAAATAAACCAAGAGAAACTGGTCAAAATTATCCAAACATTTTGATGTTTGTACCAAGACAAGATAGATTAGTTGATGGTGAAAGATTGATCAATCATTTCATAAATCATGAACCTCATTCAACTTATAAGATTTGGTATATTGATGAATATTCACATATGGATGTTCTATGGGCAAATGATATGATTGAAAGAATTGGTAAACCAATAGTCAAGAACTTGAGATTCTCAGACAACAACTAGATAATCGATTGATAAACAATTGGCAAAGTTTGTGAGATCTATATCTAAAAAAACACATAAGTTCCCTTTTATCAACAACCATTTCATTTTACATACGGGCTTAGACTATGTTATGCTTTTTTGTTCTTTTGGACTATTTGACCACAGGGAATAAGAAGTACTTGAATCAATTTTATAGAACAACCTAAATAATTCTTAACTGCATTTTAATACAAAGGACCTAGAATAAATTATGATCGGTATTGTAATAACAATTATCTATTGTTAATATCCTTGACACTTTACAGATAGATATGTTTATTCTATTACTAAATTTATGATCACGTGATTTTGGATATATCTATGGATTTTTTATTGAAAATTTAACGAAGGCTCATCTCATCTCATCTCATCTCATCTCATCTACTTTGATTTCAAAGTTAAATGAATAGCAGATTACAAAAGAGTTATATCAGCGTTAAGTTCTATTATTCTCACTGGAATACTCTTTCTTTTGTTCTTCTCTTTGAAGTAGGTATATGCTTTTGCAATAGTTGAGAATAAATTTACTTTAATATCTAAGAAAGACCACTATGAAGATAAAAACGATTAAAAGAAGTGCAGATGATTATGTACCTGTAAAGAGTACTCAAGAATCTCAATTACCTCGTAATTTAAATCCTGAATTGCATCCATTCGAAAGAGCTCGTGAATATAGTAAGGCTCTGAATGCTACTAAATTGGAAAGAATGTTTGCCAAACCATTTATTGGTCAATTAGGTTATGGTTATAGAGATGGTGTCTATTGTATTGCTAAAAATTATAATAGTTTGAACAAACTAGCTGCAGCCTCAGCGGATGGTGTTGTCAAATACTGGAACATGTCAACAAGGGAAGAACTATGTTCCTTTAAAGCCCATTATGGTTTGGTGACAGGTTTGTGTGTATCTCCAGAAAAATATTCAAGTGATAAAAATGAACATTTTATGATTTCCTGTGGTGATGATAAAACTATTAAATTATGGTCTGTTAACAGTGAAGATTTTGCTAATGTTAAAGATGATGAATCTGTAAACACAAAGGATGGGCTAATTAAAACTTTTTACGGTGAACACGCTTTCCAAGGTTTGGATCACCATAGAAACAATTCTACTTTTGTTACAGGTGGTGCTCAAATTCAATTATGGGACTCTAGTAGATCTAAGCCAATTTCTAATCTAACCTGGGGTGCAGACAACGTAACAAACGTTAAGTTTAATCAAACAGAAACCGATATTTTGGCCAGTACTGGTAGTGATAATTCGATTGTCTTGTATGATTTGAGAACTAATTCTCCAACTCAAAAAATAGTACAATCAATGAGAAGTAATGCTATATGTTGGAATCCAATGGAAGCCTTTAACTTTGTTATTGCAAACGAAGATCACAACGCTTATTACTATGATATGAGAAATATGTCAAGAGCATTGAATGTTTTTAAAGATCATGTAAGTGCTGTAATGGATGTTGATTTTTCTCCAACAGGTACTGAATTGGTTACTGGTTCATATGATAAAACTATAAGAATATACGATATTGGACATGGTCATTCTCGTGAAATATATCACACCAAAAGAATGCAACATGTTTTCCAAGTTAAATATTCAATGGACTCTAGATATATTGTTAGTGGTTCTGATGATGGTAATGTCAGACTATGGAGAAGCAAAGCATGGGAAAGATCTAACGTTAAAACTACTCGTGAAAAGAATAAATTAGAATATGATGAAAAACTAAAAGAAAGATTCAAGCATATGCCAGAAATCAAGAGAATTAGCAGGCACAGACATGTTCCACAAGTCATCAAGAAAGCTCAAGAAATTAAGAGAATTGAAATCAACTCTATTAAAAGAAGGGAAGCTAATGAAAGGCGTTCAAGAAAAGATATGCCATTTGTATCAGAAAGAAAGAAACAAATTGTTGGTACTGTGTTTGACTATCAAGACAAGAAAAGTCGGAAATCAAAAAAGAATAAGGAGGAAAATAACGAAGATAACTCTGGCATCGAAGATAATTAATTTATTACTTCTTAAAGAACGATTGGGTGTGTATATAATTATGTATATGTATTTATGTAAATTAGTGTTTGGGGGTTTATAAAAGATGTCTCCTTAGAAAGAATAAAAAAATCCTAAAGAAATTGTGGTCTAAATGTATTTGAGTACTATAACGAGAATTTTATAGTTAATACATAAAATATATATCTATAAATATACATAAAATATGAGGGCCTGCCTACTTGCTATTTTTACATTTGCGTAGATAGGAATTACTATTGTAAAGTCAGAATAAAATCTGAAAATAAATTCTTACGTCTAATTTCTATCAATAGGAAACTAAAAATCTCTTCCATTCTTGAAAAATCATGAATTAGTAACAGTAAACAATGTTCTATTTTAATAATCATAAAGTTCTTAATATTATATTAGTGTCATATAGTAACATCTAAGATTTTTCCGACATCTGGAACAAATGGCTTAGAAATGTCTTCCAAGATAGGAATAATGTCCAACAATTCATTATCATGTGTGTCGGAAAACCAGGATGATATTGGAATTGCATGTTGTGGGTGGAAAATGTACGATGCAGGAGAGTTATCTAAAATGATAATATCGGATAGAGGTCTTCCAATTTGAGATAAATTTTTCACATAATTACCATCATAGATGTAACACGACTCTCTAAATAATCTGTGATGGATAGACTTTGAAGAATCTAATATATCTAATAATGGATCACCGTATCTTGAGACACTTGCAGTAAATACTACAACTTCGAATATCTTTCCTACTCTTTTTAAAAATTCATCGACACCAGGTCTTTTGATAACGTAGACTTGGTGAGTTTGATCATCGATAGTTACTGGTAATACAAAATCGGCAGTATCTATATATTTGAATGAGGAATGGACCAAAGTTTCATCCAAATCAAGGACTAGACATTTTTTATTTTTAAATACAGGATCTTTCTTTGCTAGCAAAGTGTCATAACCAGGTGCATGATATTGGTGTTCTTGTAATTTTGATAAATCCAAATAGCTTGAGTTATCTTGAATGAAAGAAGAGCTATCATAATCGTAATCTCCATCAGTATAAGAAGGAATTACATTATTTGATTGTTGAGGATATTCCTCATTTGAACTGGTGTTTTCATTGTTGTTTACAATGATCGAAGTATCATTATTGCTATTATCATTATTATGTCCTTCGCTTTGTTGGCTATCGTTAATATCGATATTAGTTTGGTTAAAAGTGGAACAATTACTACTAGTGCTCGTACTATTAGTATTATCATAAATATGAATTTGACTTTTTTCATCATTATCGACATTATTAGTATTACCTTGACCATTTGCAGATAAATTATTTTGGTTTACAATTTCGTCATTGTTATTATTGTTAATAGAATTTGATTCTTCAGCGGTGTTAGTTTGTTTCAATTCCTTGCTATTCTTAGCGACATAAGCACCACTTCCACTACCGCTGCCACTTCCACTACCACTGCTATTGCTATCTATTTTCTCGCTATCGGTATATTTTGTATTTTTTTTCCTAATAGAATTATCGTTAAAATTTCCACTGTTTTCATCATCTTCATCGTCGCCATCATTATTTTCTAAATGATAAGAAGCACTAGTTCTCTTTTTATGAGAAGAATTAGAAACAGAATTTGAAGTAGAACCATTTTCCTTTTTATTAGTTGAAACAAGTGTTGGTGTATTCATTTTCTTTACAGATTTTTTTTCACGTTTAGAATTTCCAATATTTTCCTTTTTACTTTTCGAATTTGAGTGATTATTATTTTTAGAAGTAGAACTTGAATCACTATTAGGATCTTGGCAAAGTACAGAAAAACCTTGTCCCATTGGATTGTGTAAGAGCAACGAATCTCTTTTGACTAATCTAAAAGGGAACAAACAAAGAAAGAACGATCAAGGCCAAACAGTACACCAAGTGGGGCCAAATCAGATCGGATCAGGTCAGATCAGATACAGGGAATGAGATGGAGGGAAGGTAACTGAAGAGTATTGTAGATGTTAAACTTAAAAGTAATATCCACGCCGAAACTTTAAATTGCTAAAACTCAAAGTTCTAAAGACAAAACAGAAACAGAAACAGAATATATATATATATCAATATAAACCTTTTTCACTTGCTCAGTTCTCTCGAAAAGTTTTCTTCTTGATCTCTCAATTAACTTAATACTCGAAATCTAATCTAATATAATCTAATCTTGATAGAAATATTTCAATTGATAAAAGCACTGTATCGCACAAAACAAAGCCAGAAAAAGTACAATTGTAAGTGACAGGACAGAATAAGATGGCCAATAAATGAGCAAACTAAACCAAACAGTAGTTTATTAGATATTAACCCTTATAAAGAATGAAACCAAAAAAAAAAAAAAAAAAAATTAAATTAAATTAAAATAAAATAAAAATTAAGGAGCACACTACTGGAACTCAAAAGGTGTACTACCCACTAGACCTCAACAAATATAAACCTAACAACAACCTATCAATTCAAACAAAAAAAAGATAGTTAGCTCGAATACCTCTTGATATAGACCCTCTTTCCTTACACTTTTAGTTCCAATTTCAATTCAAGTTGTTGTAAGTTGCCTAATCAATATAATATAATATAATATAGTATAATATAATATAATATATATAAAGTTTAATCCTATATCAATTTTTGGGCTGGGTGGGTCTGGTGTGATTTGTTCGTTCGACCAAATTTTGATTTTTCATCGTTTTCGAAAAAATTTTCATTTCGAAAACGGAAAACGATGATGAAAAAAAAACGATTTTTGACGGTTTAAAAAGAGCGATGCGATGCGATGCGATGAGGTTGGGGGGGGGGGGGGGGATTTTGATTGGGATATATGTTTTCATGGTTTGTGTTGATCAAGGACAGTTGGATGTAGTGGTCCAGGTTACAAATTGGTATATTAATCTTTATCTTTTGGTTGATTTGGGTCTGATGATCGTTTCCCGCTTGTCAATTGGGCTTGTACATGGGGAGATCAACCCCTGTTGCCTGTCGTCTTTGTCTCTTGGGTCCTCTGTAGAATTCTTGATTTAAAGGTCAAGCTATCTATCTTGATATGTTTAATATATGTATGTATATGTGTCTGTGTGTCTGTATTTATATCTGTGTATGTATGTGGCTGACGCCGTCAGCTTCTGTCTCAATCACCTGTTTCTGTCATTTCGTATTTTGCTTCATCGATGGATTTCGCAAAGTGAAAAAATACATTATAAGAACAAACCAACCCAATTTTTACTGGTTTCATTGATGGATCTGGTGTTTTAAAAGAGGTTGTACATACTGACACATCTGGCCTGTTTTTTGTTGGTATCCAGTAACTTCAAGTATTCTTATTTGTATATATACCCATCACAGGATTGGGTGAGCAATTGTATTATTTGGATACAACACAATGAGTTTTCAAAGCATGAACACTGATAATAAGACTTTTAGTACACCATTACGTCCTCTATCAAATGAACAAATACATTCTTTGAGAGAGAAAATTAGCAAAGAATCTCCAAGTCTATACAGGAATAAAGTACTTACTGATCCAATCAAGTCGTATAGACATGAACTAATCAATAACGGCTCAGGTAACCAGGGTACACCTAGTAGTAAATTAAGGAATCTATTCCAAAATGTTAATATAGATAAAGACTACTTGATTCATCAGCAGGAAAATCTGAAACAGCGTGGTAATAATGGTGTTAACCATGCTCCTTCGAAGGAAAAGACCAACAACTTCAATTCAAATGATTTATTAAATGAAGATGAGAATTTACAACTTTCAACTATCATGGAGTCTTCAAACTTACAAAAGGAACAGTTGTTGGGCAACTATGAAAACCCTATACTATCTAAACTCTCACAAAGAACTGTAAACAAAGAGTTGGAATTACAAAAGGTAATATTCAATGTGATTTTTTTAACACTTGGAAATCTTTCATCAAAATTTTTCAATTTCTTTATTAACCATACAAAGTTTGGTAAACTTCTACTAAATCAATTGAAGATTAATGATTCTAAAAAAATCGTTGGACATATTAACCCTACTATTAGCAACGACAACAAGTTCCTATACTATTTAAAATTTTGCGTCACTTCACAACAAAAATACTTCCCCTTCATTAATTTCGAGAACGTTAAATTTCTAATACAATCGATTTTAATAGTAAATATCATTATATCTCTTTGGAATCTGACTGAAACTGTCAAGACTGATGATTTGAAATTGAATGACAAACAAAAACAGTTATTGGGATTGAATTCTCAAAAGAAAAATTCAAAAGATAAGCATACGAGTAAACCTCATTTAGTGTATACAAATCAAAAGAATTTGATTCAACAGCAATCACAAAACAATATTAATGGTAATAGCAGTGCAAACAAGAATTCATCAAATAAACCCACCCCACCAACGCCATTTTTATTTAAATCTTTAGAGACACCTCTAAAGTTCAAAGATAGAAATGAGCCAAAGTCTGTAATGGTTAATCAAGTCGATGCTTTTGGTAATCCAAGAAAGAATTTCTTATCATCTAATGTTGCTGTCAAGACACCAGCATCAGCTCCACCTTCTAGCTCTGGGTACATTCCTAGCAATAGATATGCATATCTAATGGATTCTCCTAGTCCAAGAAAAAGGTTGTAATTATCTGAATGGATAATTATATCTATTATTGGGTTTATATCGTTTTATTTATAGATGGGTATAGTGTATCGATTTTGAGACTAAATTGATTACATATTATTAAATAATAAATGGAATTCTCGATGTTTATTAATTTAGGAAAAAAATTGCTACATAACCTAATTATAAAATAATTACATAATCTATTTACCAATAGTCTGGGAATAAGAATCTTAACTTCTCTAAAGTATCCTTTGACATTGCCTCTGGTTTAGTAGAAATAGATGTCTTGATAGTGCCAGTTAAACCATCACCGGTCTTCATAAATTCAGGTAACTCGTTTGCCATACTTTCAATGATTCTAGAAGCTAATAAGTTGGCATTACGTCCGTTGTTAGTCAAATGTCCGATAACAGTTTCGACAGTAACAGGTTCTTCTTCATCCTTCCAAGCATCATAATCGGTAGACATACAAACCATTTGATATGGTAATTCACATTCACGAGCTAATTTAGCCTCTGGGATGACACTCATATTAATGACATCACCACCAAACGACTTGTACATTTTAGATTCAGCTCTTGTTGAGAATTGTGGACCTTCCATACAAATGACGGTTTTATCTTTATCGAAGTGTAATAAACATGGTTCATCAGAGTCATAATCTTGTAAAACGTTTCTAAACTGATAAATATATTTAGCAAAAGAAGTAGAGAAAGGGTTACCAAAACCTACGTGTCCTACTAAACCTTCATCATTGAAATAAGAAGAGTGTCTAATACCTTTTGTTCTATCAATAATTTGTTGTGGTAAAACAAAATCTCTTGGTTTGATATGATGTTGTAATGAACCGACGGCACTAAATGAGAGGACAGCTCTAGCTTTTAAATATTTCAAAGCAGCCATGTTTGCTCTGAATGGTACTCTGGTAGGAGGGTATTCATGATGAATACCATGTCTAGCAATAAATGCAACATGAAAATAATCGTTCAAATCATTTTCTTTACCGGCACCAATAAATTTACTGATAGTAATAGGAGATGAAGTTACACCCCATGGAGTCTCTAGAGGTGGGATAACAGCAATGGGCTCTAAACAATCCAATTGGTATAAACCAGTACCACCAATAATTGCAAGATCGATGTCACCGTCGAAGTTTGTTGGTAATTCTGAGTTTGTCATTTTTTTATAATCGTTGCAGTTGTCGTTCTTATCTAAATATAATGTTATATTGATTTGGTTAGCTATTAATAACTGATTATAAATCACTATCAAAACTATCAAAAATTTCAGAATTCAAAACTCGATATTCTAAATCTTTAATAGGTTTTAATCTATATGCAAAAATAAAACAAAAAAAGGGAAACCAAATAGAGGCAACTTAGACGCAATGTGTACCATTTCCAAAATATCGAAACTAGAAGTTCATCTGATATAATCGACAAACCCATCAAACATCAAGTACCTTTAGTTTTGTATCTCATCTCATCTCATCTCATCTCATCGGATCAAAAATTTTTTTTTGGTGTTGTTTCTTTTGGTGGAATTGAAAGTGGTGAAACCAGCCAAGCCAACTAGATCAGGGACAAAACAGCTTCAAGGAACATTATATCACTTCACTTCACTTCACTTCAATAAAGTCAATATTATTAGGATCATTACATTTGGATTTTAATACATGTACACACACATTAACATACATATATATCTATATATATTTACAAATATATAAATACGTACTTCTCATTTGTCACTTGAACTTGAATTAAGTGTTCTTCGAATCGAGAATAGAAGGTATGTGAAGAAGGAACCTGATGTAATATAATAAAGAGTTTTATTTACATGAAATCTTTATATATATTCGATTTAGACTTTTATTTGAATAGGAATTTGAATAAATAATGACATATTAGTTGTGAGAAATAGTAATGGGAAGTGATTACGGTGCCCTCTTACCTAATGGGTTTCAAAACCGAAACCTTTCATACAGCTCTTGTATTTATCGATAAATTCTTTACAACTTGTAGATTCTTGACCATTGAATAAAAGACAGTTATCTCTTTCTTCCTTCTCTGGCTTACAAACACAACATGCTTTAGGTTTATCCTGAGTGCTTGTAGTATTAACAGATTGTTTGGTTTCAGACATTTTCTTCTTATAACAATAAATTTTCTTGTTCTCCTTTTTATATCTTTCTCCTACTATGCAAAATAGACAACTGCTGAAGATGATAATATTATGATAGTGAGTATTGGTTTACTATTAATATAAAAGTCCCTCTTTGAACTACCAAATAACAAGAGATCAAAAAAGCATCCTCCTCTTTATATAAAATATATAAACTTGCTATGATAAAGACTCAAGTTGTACAGTTGTGGTAGTGGTTAGTATTGTATTGGATTAATAATTTCTTACAAATTCGAAAAAAGTCTGAGTTTTTTTGAAATGTTGCCTTGATCTTATATCTTCTTACGTACTATTGTGAGCTCATTTGAGCTCATTTGAGCTCAAATGAAGATATTCTCATGTGACACAATGCATCAGCTAACCTTTATTGCTCTCACCGCAATCTTTGCATAGTTCATACTAAATATTTATATAGCATAGTATGGGTTTGGTTTAAGTCGATGTCAAGAACAAGAACAAGAACAAGAACAAGAACAGGAACAGGAACAGGAACAGGGAAAGGACTATAGTCGAGGCTGAGATTACTTAATCACAAACTGTTCACTTCGTTACTATGATGGTGAATACTGATATAACCATTCAATTCATTATATTTTATAAAATGTTTCTTTACTCTAGGAAGGATAAAAGTAGAAGTATGTAATTGAATAAATAGATATAAGATATACTTTGAGGAGCGAAAGGGAGGGGCCAGGTGTAATTATTTTGTTCTTCCTCGATTATTTATCGTCAGTGTCCTTAATCAGAGTTAGTTCATCACATTTTAGGTCTTAGCTTTTATGATTATTCTATTCTATTCTATTCTATTCTATCCCATTCTATTCTATTCTATTCTATTATCTATCTTGAAAATTGTATATTTAATCATAAAACAAGTTTGCCGGTAAACTCTTTAATGTGTCCATATTATAATACTGTTCATCGTCACTATCTTCTTCTGATGTTGTAGCATCAATCAGAATATTCTTCTCCTTTTTAATATTCTCTTCAGAAACAGTTGTTCTACGCTTCATAATCTCTTCAATACTAGTCTTATCAGAAATATCACTATAACTATCAGTGAAAAGATTGATCATTTGAGTGTTTCTACGCACTTCAATTAATTTTTCAATTTGTTCTCTTGTATCATTTGAAAGTTGTCTTATAACATCTGTTTCATTATTTTTTTTCTTCGACATGTGTAAAATTAATTTCAATCCATCTAACCAAATATATCTAGACTCTCTATTATCAAAGTATAACCTTAATAATAATTTGTTTTGTTTGCCTAAAATGTCAACTTTCATACAAACATTTTTCTTGAGAATAACATTTTTTGGCGTTTTTGTATCTGATATTGTGTTGGTTGGCGTTATTTCTTCGTTCTCGATAGATTCAATGTCATTCAGAGAAACTAATAAAGTCTTGCTACTAGGAATTCGTGTTCCAGAATTAGGGCTTAGGGGATCCGTAGAGCCAGATATTATCTTATTGTCTACAATGTATGGTTTATCTGTGGTTTTAAAATCAAAATCTCTCACTAATATATGTTTTTGATTGTCGGATAGCATAACAAATGATATGTTACGGTTCTTTACAGATACTGATAGTGGATTTTCATTATAATACCATGAACCTGTTTGTAATTGCAGAACTCTTAAATGGCGTACATAATCGAATACTTGAGTAGAAAGCATTTCATTAAACTCTTTCAAACTGTCTGCCCATTCTTCGCATTGAGAATTTTTGATGACATTTATTTGCCATTGTCTCGCAGTTTTGTAGTCCACTGAATTAATAAATTTCTCACAATAATGAACAAGACGACTATTTGGATGATGAGCTCTATTTCTTATGTGAATTTCGGCCTTATACATGATGATTTTAACCAAATCCAATAGAGAATATAAATCGGATTCTGATTTAGCATTTGACTCCACCCACATTTTCAATAAATTATCCATGAATGCATATAAAATAGTGTTTTTCATTATAACTACACTCATTAGTTCTGTATTTGTATTAGAATCGCGAAGAATAGGGTCAATAAATATTGCCAAAGCGTTCGACATATAAACAATTGCCTTAGTTAATGGAAATGGATCTTGACCAAAGATTAACTGTTCGGTAAGAGTTTTCTTAAAGGACAAATTATTACTTTCTAAAAATAAAATCAGGTCAAATGCTTGCAAGAAATTTAAATTGCCCAAATCCTCATATTTTAGATCACTTTCAAAATCTTCGATGGTGACAGATTTTTCTCCCATCATATCAAATACGGCTAAAAAAAATCTCCTCTTGTATGAATTAGGGAAAGAATTAATTTTGAACTTCCTTAGAACAGTTATGATCCCACTAAAGCAACCAGCTGTTTTTTTCAAAATATGATCATCTAATTTTTTGGATTCAAATATCGCAGAAATCAATTCGTGACCATTTAAGTCAAAATAGTAAAATAATATCTTTAATACTAAAACAATACCGATTTTATAATCATAATTTGCTAAAATCGCACAACATTCAAATATATTAGAGGTTGCTACAAGAACCGAAGATAAAAGTGCAGGTGAGGCGGTCTCTACAACTGAATAGTCTATTAGGTGAAATAAAATATGCTCGTCATATATTGCTTGTAACATTGGTTCAAAGGATTCCAAATGATTCTCATAGTTTGTCAAAGACATCTCTAGTATTTGAGATACAAGATCGGTAACTGTCTCTGGTGAAGAGTTTAACAATATTTCTTTGAATTTATTCCAATAGACTCGACTAATAATTACCTCATCACAGAATACCTTATGATTGCAAACATGATTAAATTTTTGAAATAAACCAATAAAATCTGAAATTTCAATATTACAATCGGAACTTGTAAGTAAATTGTACACCAATTTTGAATCCTTTTCGTTCAATTCATTCGTTTCCACTGTCAACAGAACCATAAGCTGTTCTTTAGAATTAACCTCACTTGTATTGTCATTGCTGCTATCTTCAATTTTTGTATCAGACATATCTAACCGTTTATATTTAACAAAAAATTAACAATCTATCAATGGGCAGGTTAAAATATTCCACAACTGTCTCTCTTTCCTTCTAGTAAACTACTCAATGTGATATATTATTCCAGAAATACCTAGAATACCAAAACTTCAGGAACTTGAATTGAAGTCTAGTTTAACAACTTAACTAATTAAATTAAAAAAAAATTTGGATAATGTGAGCTCAATATAATAATAGAGGCCAAAATCAGATTCAGAAAATGATATTTCAGCACCAAGTAAATATTAGCTTGCGATATAAACCCTTGGTATATGGCAGTTTACTCTATTCTATCCAGTTCTATTCAAATAAAACGTATTCTTCTTTATAACTAAATTGTATATTATTTCGAATATGTATATTAATATCTTGCTGCTACTTATTCAATTCGGCTTTTGAAAAATTACGGTTATAGGTTAAATTATCATATTAAACAAGAAGAAGATGTATTAAAGAAAGGAAGATAATAAGAGGGATGAATTAAGCCAAATTGTGGAAATGAACCAAGCTAAGGTCTAATTATTGTCGGTATTTTAATATAATAGTCGTTTCTACGAGCTGTAGTATTGATTGATACCGGATACGTCGAAACTTTATTGTTGTGGTTATTATCGTTGCTACTTTAGTTGCTCTGAAATTGTAATATTTATCGTTGATAGTGGAATTTAATAAGTTCATTATAGATTTCTTCTATCTTTAAAAGTGGACATAATTCATAGTCTGAAGTAGTATAACACTGTCATTGGAAGAAAAGGAGGGAATAATAATTAATAGATAGATATAGAAAATAGAATATAAGATGAACAATTTGGATAATCTTGCAGGAAATATGTCCAATTTAACGATTCAAGGTAAAGGGAATGAAACTCTGATATCATTAGATGAATATGTGAATAATATTTTACCATCTCATTTAAAAAAAATATTTTCAGATAACTTACGTGAAAATTATCAGATACCAAGAGAATTCTTTGAAAGTGCTGAACTATCTGGTATAAATAATAAAATAGATCAAGAAATACAGAAATATTCACATTTATTGAAAGGTTTATCTAATAATGGTCAAACTTCATTTGGTAGCTATTTATCAAATTCTAATTCTTTCTCTGGGTGGTCCTTTATTGAAGGGTTTATTATTGGACAATTTTCTGTTATAATAGTATTAATATTCTTTATCAAATTTTTTGTTTTCAGTGATGGAAGTTCTTCGAATTCATCCAATCCAAAACCCTCTTTAAATTCTAGATCAGATAGAACTTCGTTTAGTTATAAATCTAATTCGATGTTGTCAAGCAATTTTTTCTCTTCAATAATGAAGAGAGGTGGTAAGACGCATTATGAAACAGATATAGATTCTGGGAATACTAATAGATTAAATACCATCCTCGAAAAGGTGTATTATGATGTAGATACACATCCTTCAGAATCTTTGGATTGGTTTAACGTCCTAATTGCACAGACAATTCAACAATTTAGGGAAGAAGCTTGGCAAAGAGATAATATTGTTCATTCTTTAAATGATTTCCTTCATAGTAAATCTTCTGAAATGCCAAGCTATCTAGATGATATTAAAATAACAGAGTTGGATATTGGTGATGATTTCCCAATTTTTTCAAATTGTAAAATTCAATATTCTCCCAATTCCAATAAAAAGAAATTAGAAGCAAAAATTTATATAGATTTAAATGATAGATTGGCCTTCGGAATTGAAACAAAATTGTTGGTTAATTACCCAAAACCACGTACCGCAGTTTTGCCAGTTAATTTGACGGTAGCTATTGTTAGATTCCAGGCTTGTTTAACTGTATCATTGACAAATGCAGAAGATTTTGTACCAACTACAAAAGAGACAGCCTCTTCCCAAGATGATGACGGTTACTTTTTAATGTTTTCATTTGGACCAGAATACAAAATGGATTTTGATATTGAATCATTAATTGGTGCAAGGTCTAAGTTACAAAATATTCCAAAAATCAGCTCTGTTATTGAATATCACATTAAAAAATGGTTTGTCGAAAGATGTGTAGAGCCAAGGTTTCAATGTATTAGATTACCAAGCATGTGGCCAAGAAGCAAAAACACTCGTGAAGAAAAAGTTGATACTGATGATGTACCATTATCAAAAGCAGAATAATTAAACTCTTCAGTAATGGTTTATTGTCTACTTAATTAGGAATTCTGATACCACCGGTTTCGTTGATTTTAAACTTATTTATATCACATTCGAAATTATATCTCCCCTCTAATTGCTCTTTCTCTATGTCAGCAATACCTAAATAATCTCGAGGTACCAATATTTGTGATCCTCTAGATATGTTCAGAAATGGGATGGAAAAGTCACTACATGAATCACTTTTACTATTAATTGAATTTCTTAACTGTGGATGGTTGACCTTTGAGATGTAAAGGTGTGATAATTGGTAGTGTGCCATTAATGTAAATATAAATATGATCACCATGCAAGCACAAAGCTTAAAGCTATTATACAGTGAGAAAAGTCCGATCATGCAAAATTCCAAACAGTATATTCCAGCATAAAGTTGAGTCAGTGCTTTAAGATATAATTTGCCATTTGTCTCAGCACAATTGTTGCCATTATATTGGTATTCAAACAGATATTTTATGGAAAAGTAAACTAGAAGAAATGAAATGGAACAAAGAGGCAAAATTATGGGAGAAATTAAACTATAAATAATCCCAATACAACCTAATACAGAAAATAATGGGTATATAGATCCCCATTGAAGGGTATGGGGTATTAGATAATCTTTTCAATATTCTTGGGGGTGGGTTAATAATGGGTTTGTAGTAGACCAATTCAATTTTCAATTCTTTAACCTGTAGTAAACTTCCTCCTGAATACGCTATTCCTCTAATTAAAATAAAGGGAACAAAAAAAGTTGGAACTTTTTGGTAACTCGTGTGCTAATAAAGTTGTTATGCTAACTGGATTGGTGATAATTCTCTCTACAACAAATGACATTCCTGAAGATATTGTTACCACTAAAAATATATGAATGAAAAGGAAAGTAAAAAACCAATTTTGAACATTTAATTCTATTTCCTCATTTGTCCTACAACATCTCAGATAACTAACCCATCTATATAGGAATGGGACAAGTTCGGTAATAAATACCAAAGTTATAATTGGGATGATGTTACTAAGTATGTCACTTATGATGATTGATTTAATTGTCATTTTTGATATTATTGGTAATATAGAAGTCAAGTACGGTATTTGGGAAATCAATCCAATAAAGGCAACCGGAATAACTAATCCTAAAATGATAATTACTGAAATAAGATTTGCGAATACGGATCTTATTGACTTTGCAGTAACATTTGTAACTAATATATTTGGCCAAATTATCCCATCTGGATTTGTACCGATTATTGGATCACTCCAATAACTAATGTTGAAATTTTGTAATAATTGGCCGTAAATGTATGCTGTCTCCGTTGAATTAAATGTCACAAATGCCTTATTGAAAAAATTTTCTTGCAATTTATTTTCATGCATTGGTGTCTCATCATTAGAATATATTAATGAATCATATTTTAATTCATCTAATTTTCTTTTTAAAATCAAATGTCTGTTAGCCGCCTTATCAAGATCTGAATAACAACTATCTAGAAAACTCACCTTTTCTAACCATACTACTGGAAATTTTAACTTGTAAATATAGCTCCATCTCTTCCAGCCGTAGTGCCATTTGAAGTTGAGATGTCTGCCTAACGTCTTGATGACAAATAAAGTATAGTTACAATAAAACATACATATATTTTTACTCTGAATTAATGGCATCTTTAAACCATTGTTACAATCATATTTTTCATAAAATTTTATTTTGGTAAAATATTTGTATAATATAATTTCTGTCACTATCAATTCAATTTTTCCTTCAAGGTGTTTGACATTGTTATTTAATGTTTTAATCTTTATACAGTTCTTGGGAATAAAAGTGACAGTTTTTACTGAGTCGATTGAAAATGAGTTGAAATATTGTTTTACTATTTGAATATTCTGTATTGCTTGTTTCGGGATATTATCAATATATAAAACAGAACTTCTCTTTTTCAATTCTTCTTGATCAGAAGATAAATCCTGAATGAATTTTAATTCTGATAATAAAACAATATGAAAAGAGACAATTACAAATATGCTTAACAACATATGGAATATTAATTTATCAGCATTTTGAATTGAGATGTTTGACATGCTGATTACATCCAAAGATTGAGAAGATGTAAATTCGTCATTATAGATTTCTTGATTTAAATTTTTAATCTTGTGTCCAGAATTAAAATGTATGGGAATTAAAATAGGCACTAATACTATTGACAAAGAAAGGAATAAATAGACCAGTATTCTTAGGAATCTTAAAAATAAGTAGGCATCTAAACCACACTTTTTCTGATATTTTCCAATGGGTTGTTCATACACAATTTTAACCCAACCAAATAATTTTATGATTTGCGAAGTTTCGTTGATATTTGAGACTAAACTGTCATTTGAACTATTTTTGAAAGAAAGAAGGCTTGATTGGTAAATATTCTTTAACTTGTTCCTCAAGAAAATGAATAATATTACTTGTAATATGAAGTGGATTAATGACGCAAGCATACCTGAGATAAATGCCTCAAATGATATCCCAGAATGTTTGTGAGCAGAACCTGTCCTTGTTGTGTTCATCAATTTTGATAAAATGGTTGTTGTTATATTTTTAATAGTCTGATCCTCACCATAATTATTGTTATCAAATTTTAATACTACGAATGAAGTGGATTCATCAATGTCTATATATGTAAATAAATAGTCAGATAGATAACGAATAATATCCGAACTTTCACTGATATGTGAATTCATGATTGTGATTATTTATACTATGCACTTTTGAATTAGGAATAATAGATTTATTATTATTTTTAAATGATTTGCAAATATAGTTAAAGATATAAGTTCAATATATTTGCATTTCTTGTTATTATCATAGAAGCTTTCTATCTATAAATGTTTTTTAAAGTCTACAAGAATTTGTGTCGTTTTCAAAACAACAGGAAATTATATGAAAAACTATAATATAAAAAGGCATGACATTTTCATTCCCTATGTAGTATATATTTAGGATAGTATGGAGACTCAAAGGTAAATTTACTTTTGTTTATTATCAATATTTAAATTGATATGAGCCAGGGTGAAGAAACTGATTAATGCGATGAATATATAACTAGCGATAGAAATAGGTTTCTTGTAGAAAGCAGTTGAGTCATATCTGTATTTCACTAAGATTCTACCAGAGCGCAACTCATCAACTAAGTTTTCAAAATTGAACGTAACTTTAACATGACCTTTATTTAAATCAAAATAAGAATGCTTAGTATCAATTTGGACACTTGCATAAGGAACTGGTACATCAACTTCTTCCACGACTGTACCTTCCATCAAGTAAATAGAAACTGAAGTATTATCATAAGTAGTATCAGGAGGCCCATTTAGGATTGGAACCGATAAAATATATGTGTCTTTTTCCTCAGTTGTACGTAAGAAATCGCTCAATACATTAGTCCAGCCGATTGTAAAATTATATTTCCAGCCACCATAAATTGGATATCTTGGTTTTAAATAAAAATGATCATCATTCACTTGATAAGTGGAAACCATACCAACTAGATCTGTATAATAATGATCAAATGCTCCTGATGGTAAAACTGTATCAATAACACCACGATAATGACCATGTAAAGTTTGTCTTTGTTTCTTCATATGATCTAGTCTTGAAAAGCCCTTGTTCAATTTAGCACCTGAATTGACTAATTCATAATATTCTTCAAACTGTAAACTTCCAGCCCAATGAGATACCCAAATGTCTCTTTGTAAGTTAACAACCTTATTCAATGGGATATTATGCAAATAGACTAATTCGATAACATCATTTTTGTAGTAAGAATCAATATTGTTAAATGGACCATATGAATATGCTATATCTTCTGCTGTACCATGGAGATTTGTATCTTGGGGTTCATTTAATTCCTTATATGAAGTACTTCCAAGAAATTTCAATGTGAACTCCTTTGTGAAATATGCCGATAGTGGATATCTTCCGGTTCTGAATAATAAATGTTGTTCTTCAAATATATCAATATGTTTTGGGTATGGTTCACCACAAGAGTTATATTCAATTGAAACTTCAAAAGAAAAATCTTCTCCAGGTTCAACAGATTTAGGGAAGGAAACTGCACCATAACCAATAATTGAACCGTCTTCTAGCGTAGTAGTGTCTTTAACCAAAGCAGCATCTATAAATTGAGAATCTCCAAGGGAAGCAGTAATCAAAGCAGTCTTTGAAATAATTTCATTAGGATATGCCAAGTAATAAATACTTGAAGGTTTATTACCAATATTTTTCACTGTAATTTGTAATTTTTCTCTAGTGTAAGACCTGCTTAAATCAATTATTCTATTCAAATTAACATTCTCCCATGTAGACGATAAATTTAACTCATCACAAATTACTCTTTGACATAATAGTGAGGTTATTAAAACCCACAAAAAAGTATTGAACATTTGAAACAAGTTTTGGAAATTTCGAAAATATGAAGATATTCTCCTACAACTGAAGTTTCTAAACCTGATCCAATTTCAATTACAATCGGGATAAAGAAATATCCTAGATAAACAAATACTCAATGAGATCTTGTTAGAAGAACCCTAAACTATCTACAATTTTAAATAACCATTCCTTTAATAGTTTGGTTTAAAATATTCTCAATCAGTTCTGATGAATATATTCTGTTCTTTCTAGATATCAAATATTGAAACTTTGGTCAGTTTAAACGAAGATTGAATTTGAAAGGTTGTTGATTACAAGAATTCGAGATCATTGCAGAACTGATGAGAATTGACTAGCATTTAATTCTGACCAAATCCAACTGAGGCATCATATCAATCGTTATCCCTTTGGCAAAAGCCTTTGAGATTGATTTATATCCATATATCCCTATACATAGAGTTGTGGTGGTACATAAAATATTAAAGAACCCGGTGAATGGTGAAATTGGGTAGATAAAAGTAGACGAAACAAGAATAGAGAGGATAGTTTCGTGTAATAATTGGCCAATATATCTTTATATTTTGAAAATCTGGCTTCAAGTAAGATAAGCTCTAAAATACTTATAATTTCTTTGCTGAAATTGCACTGGCTAACAAGTAAACACAGTCAATTATGTCAAATGATGATGATGATGACTCTACAGAGGCATTGATAACAGAAGATATGCTATCAAGTTCAACTAGGTCGTTATTGAATGAGCCCGTTGAAAATTTATTAGAAAGGGTTCACATCACAGATCTCTCAGTTGAGGAACTCGATGACTCGGGCCCAGAATCTATAGAAACAGAGATAATTAGATTATACAACTCGGATTCCAAGAAGAAAATCCCATCTGAAGATCTAGAATTAACAGCTCTTTTGATTCCTAATTCTCTAAACCAAAATATTAAGTATAACCCAGAGCTGAAATTACTATACGACAAAATCCAAGTTATGTTAATAAGAAACTCAATGTCGTCAGATTTTTTAAAAGTTTTCAAAAGATATGTCGGTATATTAGTACACGAAGGATATGATCCTAACAATGATCATTTTGTAAATGAATTAAGAAACGAATTAGTAGAAAGCTTTGAGATAACCTCGAATATGGAAGAAATAATCTCTAGTTTCATACTCAACCCAAATACCCTAGAAATGAAACTTGCATTGTATGAACATAATAAAGAAAGAGAATTGCTCACTATGACATTTAAGAAGCTGCAATTTGTATTTTTAATGAAAGGAAGTTTGAATAAACTTGAAGATGTCTGGAATGAATATTTAAGAAGGAAATACTTTTTAACTTGGAATAGAAATTTCCGCTATTATAGAGGTCATTTAATTAGAAAAGCGGACTCTTTGAATAGATTCAGAGTTATTTCGAATGGGTTCGATAAATGGTTAGACAATAGAGATTCAAATAGATCGAAAGCCTTACTTGCTGATAATTATTTCATTAATAATAAATTTATAAGCATGAAAAATAAATCGAAGTCTTTGGATAAATTAAGAATTACTTCAGAAAATAAATATGTTACAAATTCTATGAAAAAAGCATTTCAATTATGGAAATTGAATTATTTAAGCCGCCAGTTCTGTCCTAAACGTTTTCACACAAAGAAGGAAATGATCATACGTTGGAAAAACAGATATAATAATAACTCTGTTATGAAGGAAAAATCAAGACTCACAAATTATGTATTCACTGTATTACCATACTATAAAAACTGGAGTCAGTTAGCTGCAAAGAAAATAGAAGACCAAACTAATTTAAATATTTTGGAAAGAAAATTTTTATTAAAAAAGTTCCTTAATAAAATGTCAGACATAGTTCACAATAACTACTTAGTAAAAAAACAAGATATACTGGGTAATAAAAGGTGTTTGAGATATTTTTTTGAGAAAATTTGGCTAAAAAGATTCAACCAGAGAATAAATCTATATTCTTTCCATGCAATTCAAGAAAAAAAATTGAAAAGAAAGTATACGTTGAATTGGATAACACAGACAAAATTAATGAGGCATTCCTCAATTCATCTAGAGAATTCATATATTCAAAATTCATTTAATATTTGGAGAAAAAAGTATGAGTGTGAAAATCGACTAAAAATATATCAGCAGACGCTACTCAAAAACTTTTTTGAAGTACTTGTAACTAAGTTTCGGCTGGAATTAAAAGTAAGAGATTTTAAAACGAAAAAATTACTGAAATTTTACTTTGAAAAGATGAGAAGAAGATATGAAATTTCCAAAAATCTAAACTTGCAGGCAGCAAATATTGAAAAGACTAGATCTAACAGAAAGATGGTAAAAAGGTGGAAATCAAAATGCAAAAAAGTACGAACAATGAATGAAAAAAGCGTTTTGTTCCAAAAGTTAAGATTTTTCACTCTTATAAGCCAAAAAATGATAAAAATTGAAAACCTTAGCGATGTAGTTTTAAACAAATGTGAGGTAAATGACAGTAAATTAAGGGAACAATATATGCAAATATGGCTAAACAGGTTCAACTCTAAGAGAAAGTATAAATATGAGTTAATATTACATCAATACAATAAAAGAAGAAGGGCGTTGACTTTAGATTTGTTTTTATCACTTTGGTATCGAAAACTAACATTTTTTAGGGATAATTGTAATTCAAAGGCCGTATACACAAGAGATAATCTCTTAAAAAGACGTTCATTTGGATTGTTTTTAAAAAAAATCACTAATATTAATAAATTATATGAGGTGGGATCGCAAATTAGAAAGGACAGTGTTACCTCAAGAATGTATTTTAAATGGAGAGAGAAGTTAGAATTTCTTAATGACCTAGAAAAGATGGCTATTTTAAAGAGAAATGAGAAAGATTTATCTCTACTTTTAAATCATCTAAACATTTGGAGTATGAAATTACTAAAAATTAGAAGAAATCAAGAAATGATTGAAATTTTCAGAAATAGATGGAGGAGGGCAACTATTAGAGGCTTGCTACTTCTGTGGAAAAATAGAACAGAAAACTCACCACGTAAAAAAAGGATTGAAAGACACAAAAATATAATGGATCCAGCACACTTGGTGACACCAATGAGAGATCCACCTTTTGCTGAATCTCAAACTATTCCTGGATCGGAATTGATAAAAAATTATAGAATAGAAGCTGTGAAATTCAGATATAGTAGGGCGAAACGATTAGTACCCAGCCCAATAAAGTCATCGGTATCTCTTGGGTCATCGGTAAAAGAAAAATTACAAGTTTCGGCAGCCTCATATATAAATGAACGGATATCACCACCTCGATTAGCAATAGAAAAAATAAACAAGAATTTAGCGTCAAAAGTTCATGAAATCAGGTTTGATAAGATTCCAAATGTGGTGAAGCTCAATCCATTAGTTGATCATTCAGCCTTAGAAACTGATGAAGACGAAGATGGCGTAATAGTATATGATGATGATTCTCCCACAAGAAGGGTTTCAAGGGGATTAGATAGATAGTACATAGCTTGGAACTATTAACTAAGGAAATTAAGTTGTAATATTAATATATATGGTAAATGTATAAAATATAGCATTTAAATATTATGTAACCACTTGGATGGTAATAATGAACATGGTCCAAGAGGAAGCATTGAAAGGTGTGTGTGTAAGTGTGAGTGTGTCGCTGTGAGATTTTGGTCTTAAAACAATGGCGAGCTGTTACCCGGCATCCTACTCAAACCCGAGCCGAGAGACCAAGACCGACTTAGACTGTTCTGGTGGCAAAGCAAAGGCTTTATCAACTTAAATCCTATTTCAATGTGCAAGACAAGGCAAGACAAGACATATAGATTCGAAGTTTATAAGATAGAATATACATTCACATTGGACAAGAACAAACACACTTTGATCAAGGCAATTGCAACTATAGATACTGCTACAATTGATTGGTGTAGGTGATATACAATAGTGTTCGTAGAGCTGAGATAGAGAAGTATACAAAGGAAATAAGTAACAGAGATATGAACGGAATACAGGTGGATATAAATAGATTAAAGAAAGGTGAAGTCAGTTTAGGAACTTCCATCATGGCAGTCACCTTTAAAGACGGTGTGATATTAGGTGCTGATTCTAGAACTACTACAGGTGCCTATATTGCTAATCGTGTGACTGACAAGTTGACTAGAGTTCATGATAAAATATGGTGTTGTAGATCTGGATCTGCTGCTGATACACAGGCAGTTGCAGATATTGTACAATACCATTTGGAAATGTATACTGCACAATATGGAGAACCTTCTACTGAGGTAGCAGCTTCTATTTTTAAGACACTATGTTATGAAAATAAGGATAATTTAACAGCTGGTATCATTGTAGCAGGTTATGATGAAGCCAATAAGGGACAAGTATATAGTATACCATTGGGTGGTTCAGTACATAGACAACCATATGCAATTGCAGGTTCAGGTTCTACATTTATCTATGGTTACTGTGATAAGAACTTCAAAGAAGATATGACCAAAGAAGAAACAATTGAATTCATGAAGCATTCTTTGTCTCAAGCAATTAAATGGGATGGTTCTTCTGGTGGTGTTATCAGAATGGTGGTACTAACAAAGGATGGTGCAGAGCGTTTGATATTTTATCCTGATGAATATGAAAAATTGTAAAAAAAAATTAAAATATTTAAGCATTCTATCAAGAAAACTGTATACGATGAATTTGATCAAAAATAGAAGGCCCTTCTATGAGCATGACTCCAGAGCAAGCAAAATGCATACAATATAAATTAAATAGTCTCGGCAATTAATATATATTACGAAGATAAGAAAAATAATATTTTATTTAACTTCTTGGCTTTTTTGAATTAGATACTTACAATCCAACGTAATTAATTATTTTTTGGTTTTTGCTAGGTCAGTATAATCTGGCCTAGCAGCTATGGTGAATTAGAGCCATTTGTGTGGTAAACATCAAAATAATTAAAAAAATATATTATGTAATTTAATTATTTATTATGATCTTGGTATTTAAAGACTATTTTTGATAGATATACCGTAATTTATATGCCTGGCAAGGATGGATAAGAAGATGTGTAAGATCTCATTTTAGGTATATATTTAGATAAATTGATTATGTGACTGAAAGTTCAACTTTATCTCTGGTTTATGTTCAATAAATCTTTCTAAAGAAAGTACAATGTAGCTGATATATTGGAACAATCGGTTATACTAGTATTGATACGGGTATTGTGATTCATGATTCTAAAAAGCTAGATACAATGATGCCAACTGCTCTAATTCTATTATTAAAACCTCACACAATGATACCTTTTACATTCTACTGCTAATCTGAGTAGTTTATTACTTTTCATATTTACCCTATCGTAAGCAGTAAAGTTGTGGCTCATGGAATACTCTTTGTTGCATTTTTCTGATCTTACTGCTAATAGGACTCAATTTTTGGTATACATGGTTCTCTAAAATAGTATTACTTTCAAATCTTCGAGGAGGTGGAAGGGCTAAATTGTTTTCATAGGCCAATAAAAAGATTCCATGAAAATTGGAATAGACCCTAAATTCATAATCATTTTTCTTATATATTCATATATATGTTCAGCGACGATAAATCTGTAACCAAATATGATAACTAAAGTATGTCATTTTTATCTGCAGCATAGTAAGTGTTATAGTCATATCATTCATTCAGTATTAAAGCTTTTGTAATTGCAAGAGTTTGACTTTTCTTCAACATTTTTCCCTTACGAATTTTAACTTTGTCACTAGAACCACACTTTAGAAGGAATTGGATATTAGGTTTCTGTTTAAGAAGTATCTGACGTGAAGACTTATCTTTGGATTTAGGAGGCAAACCATTTCAAATAGTTGTAGAATGCAGTAATGTATAATTACTGAGTATTCTAGTTTCAGTGGTGTTTGTGTGTGTGTGTGGGGGGGAAGGACTGTGAAGTTTGCTGTCTAAATTAATGTTTTACTCATTTTACTTCAAAGGCGACTGTCATCACTGGAGCAGGCAACGTTGAGTTACCCTGTCCTACTTTTCGGTAATCCAACTACCTATTTGATCGCTTTGTACTAACGCGTATTAAAATTAAAAGAGCGCTTGCGGTTTTTTTAACGTTTTTTTCTTTTTTTTTGGCTTTTTTCTCTTTTCTTCTGATCTGATCTGAATCGATTTCATTTGATCCCAAAATTCCCAATTTCGAATTCGAATTCGAAAAATACATAAAAATTGATTTGTAGTTGTGCTATTCTACTAGGTTTTCTTTGGTTCGATTTTTGTAGTCTAGATTTTTTTTTAAACTTTTTTTGTTTACACCGGACAGGCAGGAAGAGAAGCATGCAGAGAGGTGATGATGTGATTTTTAACATTTTGTTTACTATTAGCTATCCACTGATATTTTGCATAGGTTTGATTTGATATCAGGAACCTTCAAGCTACCTTCCAGTTATATTATGGTAAGTAACCAATACACTAAACAAATGTATTTGATCCATTTCAAAATGTTTATATTATATATCCCAGTTATATGTATAACTCTGTGTTAAGAACAATTCTTTATTGTCTGGTTTGAGATTTAAGCTAACGAACAGTCAAGAGATCAGTTTCATTACTTGTGGTTTGTTGGTGTCCAGTCCCTACAATAAAAAAAAACATTAACAACAGGATATCTCTATTTATATATTCACACTGCTAGGCCTTTTTAAAGATAGTATTACACTGAATTCAATACTGGGCTAGATATCAAATACACGCTAATAATTGTATAATATTAATTGTACATATTCTCACTGGCAATTAAGTATTGAACTAACAATAATAAAGTTATTATTACTAGTATTGCAATAGATCAGAACAGGATCAAGGGAAAGAACAAAGGCAAAACCAATCATTATATTGAATTGAATTGAATTTTTAGTTTATTTTTTTTCTATCTAGTTACTTATCATTCGAATAATCAAATATGGCAAGTTTAGAGGATTTAATCCCCACTGTAAATAAGTTACAGGATGTGATGTACGAGTCTGGTATCGATACTTTAGACCTACCTGTGTTGGCTGTTATAGGTTCCCAATCTTCTGGGAAATCATCTATTTTAGAAACTTTGGTTGGTAAAGATTTTTTACCAAGAGGTACAGGTATTGTCACTAGAAGACCTTTGGTTTTACAATTGAATAATATTCCAGTAGACTCTCCATTAATCAATAGCAATAATGCTAAGAGTAGTAGCAACAGTAATAATGATGATGATAGAAAAACTCATAGAACTGAAGATTCAGACACTGAAAGCATTGATGATGAAGATGAAGATTATGAAATGACTTTGGAAGACCATTTGAAAATTAATAATGGAGGTTCCAAGACGAATGGTATAAAGAATAAGAATAATAATTCTAAGGGAAAAAAAGATGAATGGGGTGAATTTTTACATAAACCTGGAAAACGTTACTACGATTTTAAAGCTATCAAAAGGGAAATCGAAAATGAAACAGAAAGAATTGCTGGTAAAAATAAAGGTATTAGTAAGATTCCTATTAATTTAAAGATATATTCCCCACATGTTTTGAACTTGACATTAGTAGATTTGCCAGGTATTACAAAGGTTCCTATTGGCGAACAACCTCCTGATATTGAAAAGCAGATCAGAAATCTGATCTTGGATTATATTGCTACTCCAAATTGCATAATTTTAGCAGTATCCCCAGCCAATATAGATTTAGTAAATTCAGAATCATTAAAATTGGCTAGAGAAGTTGATCCAATAGGGAAAAGAACTATCGGTGTTATTACAAAATTGGATTTAATGGATTCGGGTACTCATGCCTTAGATATTTTATCTGGAAAGTTGTATCCTTTAAAATTGGGATTTGTTGGTGTAGTGAATAGATCTCAACAAGATATTCAACTCAACAAATCGGTAGAAGAATCATTGGCAAATGAAGAAGAATACTTTAGTAAGCATTCAGTGTATAGAACAATCTCGAACAGATGTGGTACGCGTTACCTTGCCAAAACATTAAATCAGATTTTGGTTGCTCATATTAGAGAAAAGTTACCTGATATCAAAGCTAGATTGAGTACACTGGTAGGTCAGACTGAAGAAGAACTGGCTTCTTATGGTGATATAGGAATGATAGCCAATGAAAATAGAGCAGGTTTGATTTTACAATTAATGAATAAGTTTGCATCAAAATTTATCTCTTCTATAGATGGTACTTATTCAGATATAGGCACTAAAGAATTATGTGGTGGTGCTCGTATTTACTATGTTTTTAATAATATTTTTGGGAATTCCTTAAAGTCAATAAGCCCTACTGCAAATTTGACTACGCATGATATTCGTACAGCAATTCGTAATTCAACTGGTCCAAGACCGTCACTTTTCGTTCCCGAATTGGCATTTGATTTATTAGTTAAACCACAAATTAAATTATTATTAGATCCCTCTCAACGTTGTGTCGAATTGGTATACGAAGAATTGGTAAAAATTTGTCATAATAGTAGCACTAATGAATTGGCAAGATACCCCAAACTTCAAAGTATGCTTGTTGAAGTTGTTAGTGAGCTACTGAAAGAAAGATTGATTCCAACACGATCTTATGTTGAAAGTTTAATTGATATCCATAGAGCATATATCAACACAAATCACCCTAATTTCATCAGTGCCGCTGATGCAATGTCAGATATTTTAAATAAGAAGTCGAAAATGAAGAACCTTACAAAAACTCAACCAATCCAGGAACAAGGAGAAATTAAACCAGAGGGTAGCATGGAAAAGGCGCCATCCTCCACTACTACTTCAACAACTGAGAATGACGTGAAATCCCAAATTGAGTACACCGAAATTTTGGATGGTCAGGATATGAAACAATCTAAGGAATCCTTCCTTAACTACTTTTTTGGGAAAGATGCAAAATCTCAAGAACCACAGAATCCATTGAATTTTGGCAGTATGGAAACTCCTTTGATAAGAAATAATAATGACTTAAATATTCAGTTTGACTCATTTAATCTGAATGACTTCAATAATACTGATTATTTGGAAACTGATAATATTTCCTCAAATTTAACAGAAAAGGAAGAACTCGAATGTGAATTGATCAAACGCTTAATTATTTCTTATTTCACAATTGTAAGAGAAATGATACAAGATCAAGTTCCAAAGGCAGTTATGTGTCTTCTTGTAAATTATTGTAAGGAAACAGTTCAAAACACATTAGTCACCAAACTATATAAAGAATCTATGTTTGATGATTTATTGGTCGAGGATCGCATCCTATCTCAAAATCGTGATAATTGTTTAAACTTGTTAAAAACATATAAAGAAGCATCGAACATAATAAATGAAATACTGTAAATAGACACTTATTATATATTATATATTATATATTACAATACATGATTATAGTAATTAATTTAGATCTGTATTTGTTGCTTGGAATTTTACTACTTTCACCCGTCAAAAAATGAGAAATCTACCAACCATAACATATCTGCCGCATAGACAAACTTTCATTTTGTATTGAGAAAACCTTTTATAAGCACACTCCGCATAAGACCGTATTTTCATCAATACCTCTTATCTTATCTCTCAATCATAAATAATATTTCGGAAGGTCAAAAATTAAATTTTAAATTAAGATTTAGTCGTTTCAAAATAAAAATATTTTGAAAACAATTTAAAATATAAAATTTAAATTAAATATGATCAGGTGATTAGCTACTATCAACAGTCTACCTCTTTTGTGCCGCTAAATGCAATGGAGTTCAAAGGGAACATTTCTATTGTGGACTTGAAATTAATTTTATGTGCAACTTTAATATAAACTACGAAAATATTATTCACTTTAAAGGCAATAACGTAAATTTGTTCTTGAAGGATTGAAAGGGTATCTGACAAAGTATTGGATTGGTCACTTAGAAATTCTGTTCTTTATTTCAACATTCTCAGGGTCTACACTAGAATATAGATTCTAATTTTGTTTCATTAAAACTTTATAATATTTCTTTAAAAATATAACAAGTAAATAACCCAATTCAAAATTTAAGTTAAATATAAATCTTAACTGAAGTGTGTATTAATTTTGGTGTCTTCTGAATTTTGTCACCAAAAGGAAATTCACATTTAATAAATTCTATCGATAATACATAAGCAAATATTCTTCACGGGGAGGTATTTTGGGGGATTGGAAGATCAAGAGATTTAAACGATGCAGGTCTCTTATTTAAGTTGTCCTCTAAATAGACAAATATATATTTTTTTGATGCAATTTTAGGACTTTT